TCGGAGCACCCCGGTGGCGAGCTGGCCATCCTCACCTTCGCCGGAAAGGACGCCACGGAGGAGTTCAACATGCCCCTCGGCTGACACGGAGCGGGAGCTGGAAGTTAGCATGAAAGCTCCTTGCCTCCTGCGTTGGCAGTTTCCATCGCAGAAGCCAGAAATACTCAGAGTACTGATAGATCTAGACTGACATGAACTGATGTCTCCTACTTTCGTTAGGATCCATCCCCCGGACGTCATCGGCAAGTACGCCCCCGACTCCGTGATCGGCGCCGTCGGCTCCGGCGTGGCGGCTGCCGCCAGCGCCGCTCCCAAGGCTGGTGGCGGCGGGCCCATCAGGATCGGTTCACACAGAACTGAAAGCATGTAAGAGGGTCGAGTCAGAGACAGACAGAGAGGGACGGAGAGACATAGAGAGAGCAAGAACTTATCACCATCATTTGATGCAGCATACCCGATGCAAGCATGTAGGCAAGCAAGCGAAGGACTTACAGAACGCGAAAAACGCGAAGAAACAAGAGGGGAGGGAAGGAGGGAAGGAGGGAGGGAGGGAGGGGAAGAGGGGAGAGCGAGGGCGCGAGCGAGCGAGGGGAGAGACGTTCTCGACAATTGCCAGAGTTGTGGTGAGGAAGGACACTGGCAGCAAGCTCGGCAACCATGCGGCCTGGGGTCATCTGGACGGAGCCCCCAACTGGCGTGTGGACCTCGATGAGAACCCAGGCGCTACACAGTTGTGGTTTCGCATGCCTCTTGAGCTGTCCAGGTTTTGGGTTCAGGGGTCTGCAGGATTGTAGGGTGATGTAGGGTGTGGGTTTAGGTCTCACTGGTGTAGGTGTGCTCCTCATCAACGTGAAGTCCTACTTCAATGCCACCTGGTTCCTGCTGCTCTCGGTGCTGTATGTGTTTTAGCTGAATTCGCTTTAAAGACACCTACAATATCATGACAGCAGCCGAAGCCGGTAGTCAGCGCACCGAGTGCAAGAAACTGAGGAAGTGTGCGCCACCATCTTCTCTGCAAAGAACATCAAGATCTCCAACGACCGCTTGGGTCTGACCCGCAGTGCCATCTTGCTGATTCTCTTCATTGTCATCCATGCGGTGGGTAACCTCCACGTCTTCAAAGGCCGGGTATCGTAGTTGTAGGTTCTGGCTTGATTCTTGATGAGTCTTGATGATGGCTCTTGGAAGAAGACAGGTCCGGATGACTTCAACGGCTACGGCTACTTCTATGTGCGCCTCTACTGGACGGGTTTTGGCCTGCCGGCCAACATCGTGGAGGAGTACATCCTCCTGTCGGTGCTGCTCCACGTCTTCGTGGGCCTGAAGCGAACATGGGACATGAAGCTCGCTTTGGTGCAGACCCAGGGCATCAACGTCCTGAACCTGGCCATCTCCGGCTTGATGCTCCTGACCTTCATGACCATCCACCTCTTCCAGTTCCGCTTCGGCGACACCGACCAGTTCGGCCCGTACTACATCCGACCGCCTCCGTACCTCATCAACTTCTGGGGCATCTCCTCCCTGAACCTCTTCTGGACCTCCGACGCCAGCGTGGAGAAGGTCGGCGTGCGCGACATCTACGCCCGGGCCTCAAGCACGGAGAATCAGTTATCGAATGCGCAGCGCGGGTGAGCGAGAACGGCAAGGCACTGGCAGTCACAAGTAATCAGATAATGTAACAGCAGCTGTCTGCTGTTTCATATGTTGGTTATCTTTAACATTCTAGGACAGGTGTTACCGTGAGAATCACAGGAAACTATCATGCTAATGTGTGTTCTCCCCTGGTGCTCTATACCGTCATACACAATTGATCCCATATGTGAGCCATCTCCAAACACCTAGCGTATAGCATTGGCGCATCAGAAAACCCAACCACCAGAACGAGCAGCAGAGCAGCAGACAAACGACTCCAATTTTTCAGAAAAGCCTTGCTCGCGATTTGGAAAATCGGGGTCCCACGCATGGACCATGTATGGTAGACTTTTGTTCCTCAGGCCCTGGAGTTCCAGATCTTCAAGAATCCCCTCTGGTCCCTCTTCTACATCTTCTCGGTGTCCCTTGGGCTGGTCATGAGGGGTTTAGGTTGCACGGAGCGTTTCAGGGTTTAGAGCTTTGGGGATTCTAGGGCCTTTTAGAGTTTCAGGGCTCTGAGATTTTGGGTTGACGTTTTGGGTGTTAGCGTTCAGGCTTTTTGAGCTGCCTGTGGTTAAGGTGTAGGTTTGTGGTTAGGGGTTGGGGGATGTGTTGCGAAAGGGTTTCAGGCTTCGGCAGGATGCCGTTTAGGACCTGTCTGCAAGGTTCATCTTCATGTACCATGCCTGCATCGGCTGGAAGAAGGTTGGCGGGCTGCTTGGGGAGGGAACCTGAAGCCAAAGCTCTAAGGGCCCAAACCACCACGTACACATAAGGATCTTACATTATGCTTTCGGGAATCTCCTTTTCAGCCCTGATATCCCAACAGAGCGAGGATCCTTCTGTTTAGCCCTGCCTGACTCTCATACCAACGGAACAGCCTGCAGACTAGGTCTAGGTATCATGGGTATATTCGTCACATCATACAAACCCTAAACTACCCTTAGCCATGTACCCTTAATGAATGACAAAATATCAAGATACAGCGCATCCAGGAGCAATGGCAGACATATTCAGACCGCTGTAATTCACGACACAGCCGCTGCCAGTCTAGAGGGCCGAAACGAAGAAGTGATCGAAGCCTGGGTTAATGTTTGCAGTTTGGCCAAACTCCCGAACCTTAGGCACCTCAGCCCCCCCCCCAAAATCTCGAAAGCTCGCAGGCCTGAACTCGTGACCCAAAGGCCTTTATTCCCTACAGCCTTTAACATCTAAAGCCCTAAACCCCAAACCCCTGACCGCAAAGTCCAGAAAGCCTCTCGCAGGTGACCCCGGTTCTTGGCATTCCTCGGGGTCACATCTGGCGGGTGGAGCTCATCGGCTACGGCATCATGTGCCCTGACTTCAAGACAGCAGGGATTCGATTGCACCATGTTCCGAGCGCTTTTTACTCTACGTATATACGCGCACAGAGTCGCCAGACCAAATCCCGAACCCTTGCATCCTAAACCCTGAATCTCAAACAATATTCCTGAATCCGTGGCCCTACTCCCTGAAAGTTTCCTCGGAGCTTTCTTTTGGTGTGTTTTAGGTTGAACTGACTATATCCTTCAAAGGGGACAACAGCTATACTGTTAAAGGGCCTTCAATGGCAACCCTGTGGTCACGAGAGCTTGAGCCGATGTTTGTGTTCGGGAACTTCGGAAGCTTGGCACGGCCTTAAGAGGCTGGCAGCCTGAAGTAGTAGCAGGATCCTTATGCGGGTGCACTTAGAGGATCACGTGAATAGGGCGGCAAGTAGGTGAACCCCAACTGACGAAGGGACCCGTCGAACCCATCCGTCACGGCTTAAACCTTGTCTTTGTCGGCGCCCAGGATCGTCATGGGCTTGGTCTACATCTCCTTCCCGCTCTATGTGATGGCCACCAAGCCCTTTGCAGGCTTCTCCGGCTCCAAATCTCGGCTGTCTGCTTCGGGGTTCCTAGTGGCAGATGCATTCCGGATCCCGGACGGTGGCGTTCTAGCAAGCTCTGACGCCTGGACAACCAAGATTCGACACCAAAAGCCCAGGACTTGAAGTTCTTTCCCGTGGCGAATTTTGAGGAAATCACTCTTCAGCTTTCGGAAGTTCGTTGCCAAGACCCAGAGCTTGCAGTCGAACACCCCTTCTGCTCTGAGGTGGTTCGATGACGCAATTCGGGGTTTCTGAAACTCGGGTGGTTGCTTAGCAACCAGACTTCCCCTCCAGCACTGATGCCACTGCTGGAACTTCTGAAACTTACTTAATTAAATAGCATTCTTTCCAGAGGCACTGCCCCGAACCAAAGCCTGCTTCCCACTCACAGCTGCGAGGCTACGAGACCACAATCCAGATCCCAGGACGGGAAGAGTGAGCAGGCAGGTTTTTTGTTTTTGTTGTTGTTCTGTTTGTGGTTGATATGGTTGTGGTTGTGGTGGTTGTGCTTGTGGATGTGGATGTGGATGTGGATGTGGTTGTGGTGGTGGTGGTGGTGGTTGTTGTTGTTGCTGCTTCTGCTGCGTTGTGGGGGTCGTCAGGGCTTGCTCTGATATTCGGGCACGACGTGGCGGCTGCCGATCAGCATGGCGCATGCGGGAATGGCCAGGGCATCGCGGCGTCTGTTTTGGAGTTTCTGCGAACCGGAGCTCACAAATTTCCTTTGAAAACCATCATCTGGTAGCTCTCACCAACACCTGGCAAGCCTTCCCCTGCCACACCTTTTTGCGAGACAGTGCCGACAGCTGCAAACTCGGCGGCCAGCGTTGCCTAAAGACGGCGGCCACAAATGCCACAACTGCCTACCCGGATGTCACTCCCATGCCGCATGTTTTGCAGAGTCTAACAGACCTACCAGAGTCTAACTATTAGCGGCATTAGAGGAAGTTAGAGCCTTGACTCCTCTTTTTCTGATACGCATCAGTGTACGCATTGTCCGGCGGCCTTTGTGGTTGTAGTGTTTGTGGTTGTTGTTGCTGTTGCTGCTGCTGCTGCTGTTGCTGCTTGTTGTGCGACAGAGGGCCGGGCTGATGAATGTTAAAGCCCGTCAAAGCCCTACAGAACTACAGTTGCCATCGTCAATAGTTGTCCTACGGAAGGTAATTCCCCCCAAAGCTTGACAGCCCAACAAAACGACCCAGAGTCCCAAAGCCCACACCCACCCAACACCGGCTCGAGAAACCCCAAAATACTTCGACAGAGCTCACGGAAGTCCTTTCTCTTGAGGGTGGCAGGGTCTGCACCAAGTGGAGGGGTTGAGATGAACCAGTCTAGACAGCCTCATGATAAGCCTCTTAAGAGCCTGAGACCCTGTTCCATAAACCGGGCTTCAAACCAGTATGGAACCGGCATAAACTATTGTCAAACCAAAATTTCAAAAAGGGCTTGTTCGTTTTTCCGATTTTGTTATCTAAGGAACTCAATTCAACTCCGACGGCGACAACAAGCAAAACGAAATATGTAGTGAAATCACCGCTATGGTAACATCGAGGAAGTTTTTGTTCACAACCCAGTGAACCCTGTAGGAAACAAAATCTAGGCCTTGAGCACAAGACTCTACACATTAAAACGTTTTGAACCGCTACGCCCCGGAACCCCAAAACACCCACATGGAAACTCATCTATTCTGTTCTGTGCTCAGGCCGCGTTCTCTGCCGATGAGGGGAATCCCCAGCAGCTCTTGGGGGCTGTATGGTTTTGGTCAAGGGTATTTTGGGTGTAAGTTGGGCTTAGTTAAGGGGCTAGGGTCGGCTTTAGAGTTTAGGGTCTGGCTTCGGGTCTTGGCCTAAGGCGACGCTTTAAAGGCTCACGACTCTAAAACCCTGAAGTCCTAAACCCACAACAAGTAGGCCGCGCATCCTGATAACGACCTTTCCTGGCAGCCCGTAGCCCTTGGCGAATGGGGTTCCTCAACACAAGTTCAAAAAGAGATCCCTTAGTGTTCCGTTGTTTGCATGTAGCGGCGTGGTTCACCGTTAGCCATGCGAGTTTATTCCATCTTAGCACAAATGCAACCGCAGGACTCAGCAACTGAGGACCCGAAGCCCTTAACCCAAAGCCCAGCAGGCACTATAAACCAGAAGCGCCATTAACGAATATCCCACTAACGCACCCCAAAACCTAAGCCAGAAGCCGTAAATCTTCAGTGCCAAGCTGTCGAGCCCTACTCCCCTGCTGGATGTAGGATTCGTCTTTTTGAAAGAATCAAACTATAGGGTCCACCATGAACTAATGGACTTATATTGTCATTTCGTTATTGCTGCTGTTGGTCTCTCACGTGTATCTTATCACATACGCTTATGAAATACGATAATCCCAAAGACTTCGGGTTTCTAGTTTAGGCCCCTGATGTGGAGCCGCTGGCGTCAAGCACTCCAGCTTCAGGGCCCTGGTCGATCTCAAGGGTTAGTACTTTTTTCGTCCCCCCTAACCGGGCTGCCAGAAAGCGGCATTCATTCCGTGCACAAGCACCCTCTTTTTAAAGGGTGGATAGAGCGTCGCGGCCGCAGCGTTGGCATTTGGAACTCCCTGTGACGCAATATCCCAGAGCTAGTTTCAGACGATGTGCACCGCACTGCACATGTCTTCGCGCAGAACACCAGAGGAGCGTAACTCAGAAAAGTCCACGATCCCTGCACCCCCAAACCCTAAAACCTAAACCCTAAAGTCTAAAGCCTAAGTCTAAACCCTGGTACCTAAACACCCTAAGCCCTCAAACCCAAAGCCCAAGACCCTCAAATCCCAACACCTTCACCTCAACACCGGGGCGGTAGCTTGAGCTCCGCTCCCAAGCCGCTCACCTTGAGCTTGACCTTCTATGCCTGAACGGTTTACACCCGAGACCTTCCCTAATCCAGCGGTCTGCATAGTCATCTACCCTAGACATCACTTCCCATTAAGTAAGCCTCAGCACCCTCGTCGTATTCTTCGTGCTTCTGCAGAAAGTCCCGACAACCCCCTGCTCTAGTTTAACCCGCTGTCATAGATCATAGGGCCTCCAACGCGCTCGTAAATCCCGAATCTAACAGTCAGAGGCCCTGGGCCCAAACCGGAAGCCTTGAGCACGACAATCCTTTCGAAACCGAAGCCTTGAACCCCAAGCCACCAAAGCCTCAACAGCAAAACTCCGGAGTCCCAAACCCTAAAGCGCCCCATCCTCAAGGCTTCAAAACCTTACACGGCCTTAGGGCCTTAGGTGGATGACACCAGAAACCTTGCAGTCCAAACCTTATTGAAAGGATCAGGGGACTTGGGAAGAAGTGGGGTTCAAGGAGGTTATAGGTACCCTAGGTACCCTACTAGGTTGTAGCAGTGTAGTTGCAACTACGCAAAATAAGCTCCTGACTAAGAGCTCTGATTCTTGTTGTGAAGAAGTGTCCTCACGGATCCCGCGGTGTTTAGTGGATTCCATTCACGGGCCTCTCACTGTTTTGAAAATTTTATATGCTTTACTAGGATGTTGTACGGTTGCACTAGGTGGCAATGTGAGACGCTTGTCAAATCCCTCTTGTACTAGGTTTCGAAGCTTGGGTGCTCTTGGTCACAGTCTTCCTTCAAAGCCCTTGGGGAAGCTTCAATGTGTGCCCACCGTCCGAACGTGTCTCTCTTAGCTTCTTTTACTAGCATGGGTGGATGTACGAGACCTCTGAAGCATTTAGCCTGCGCATTGAAGCTCCTGAACACTGTCCCAGATTCTTGCAAACGCAAGCTCTCCGCACAGTCTACAGCCGGCGTCTCCCGTTCCGCAGAACTTTTTGTATTAGGGTTGCTGGGTGCGCATGCTCAAAGGCACCAAAGTGCAACTCGTCCGCACCTAGAGTATGAGCGACCCGCTCAACCCCCAAACCCTTGGGAGGAAGTCGACAGGAAGCCTGCCGCGTGGGTGCATAATGCATAATGATAATGGTGATGAGGATGGTGATGGGGTTGTTGATGATGATGCTGAAGTCATTCATGGAGACGACAACGATGTTGATGATTGGCATTTCGTAATTAACTTGCACTGACAGCACAGAAACCCCAAAGCCAAACATTACTGATGCGGGAAAAGGGCACCCTAGTGCGAGACATTCGACTATAGGGACCTCTGTTCAAGCATTTTGTTCGAGTAGCCTGTAGAATGCCGCCTAGGGTCAGTCTTCTCCGACTCTGAACCCGATCGTTTCCAAAGGCCAGTCCCGAAGTGTAGCGCTGAAGAAATCAGGCGAGCTCGTTTCGACCTTTAGGAGCATCCGGCAGTGCCTCGGCTTTACCCGGAAACTTTCGGGCGTCTCGTGAATTTAGAAGCAGCGCGGCTAAGAACGTCGGAGGTTACTGGTTGACTTGGGGTTTAAGGTTCCTGGATTGGGGCCTTTGGGTTTGGGGGTGTTCAGGGTTTCAGCTTTGTAGGGCTCCTTGGGCTTTGCTTGATGTTCGTTGAACATAGCCGGCGTACCTGCGAGGTTGCCACGCTTTTGCAGGGGTTCAGGTAGTGTAGGAGCCTCATCACAGAAAGCCCTGAGTAAGAGGCTGAACACAATCAATAGAAGGATCTATATACATTCAGAGCCCGAGCAGGAAGCGGGGGCTCACAATCAGCTTCCTACAGCGCGTTCGATTCCTCGCTACCTCTACCAAGACTGGTTGGAGACGATCTCTGTCGACGTGCTGTTGCGATCGAAAGCCTTTCCCCGGACAAGAAAGGCTGCGATGCGCGCCGATGTCATTAGGCCGTGAAACTGATATAAACTGATTTCTCATTGAGCGATTGCGACCCATTCCGGCTAAAGCGAAGCCGCTTGCTTTCGTGCCGTGCGCCGCCAGCTGCAGCGGAGCCAGCTCACTGCATTGACAGCGACCGTTGCACATGGATACTTGGGCAGATGCGCTGCCAGGGCGCAGCGTGCGCCGCCGAATGTGCAATAAGATGCCACGGCAGCCCTGGGACAGATCAAGACGACGGGCAGGAGGAGGCCCTCTCCGAGCCGGACGTGGAGCTTTCGAAGGATGAGAGCTCGCTGGATGGTATGGACGAGGAGCATGACGCGACTGGACTCGTGTCCGTGACAAGGCACGTGGGAGGCTTGTGGCTTCCGACTGTCTTAGATTGTCAGCAGGCGGCGAGATAGAACCGCTGTACCGTTTGCGGTGCGACGTGGCCGATTTGAAGTGTCGCGTGGGAATGAACGAGAGGCAGCAGTGCTTCTTCGTGAAGGATGTCGGCGACCCGTGTTGCCGCAATGCTTTCCAGGCCTTGGTGTTGCAGTTGCACAGGATCTACCATGAATTCGGAGAGCACACATCTCGATTGGCGGCTTTGGACAGGAGAGCGCACGGCTAGCTGTTCGCATCCAGTTGCCTCTTTGCGTGGTTTCGTAGGAAGGACAGCCGTGCTCTCTG